GGGGGGGGGGGGGGATCCATCAATGTGCTTCAGAATCAGCATTGACAACTTTACAAGTCCTTGAAAGCTTCCTCCTCGCCTTCTTAGGCTCAACACCTAACCATTCCTGGATGAGTTTGAACACTCTCTTGTCGCTGAGAAGAGCTCGGTGACCCGCAGATACTCCTATGCTCGCTACTGCTTTGAACTGAGCTGCCTGCAGAAACGATATACCGATGCATACAACTCGAAAAAGTAAGTCCTTTTCAAAAGACAACGAGGACGAGAACATCAGGACGATGGAAGTTTAGTTTGGTTTTACGTCAAGGAAACAAGGAACTCGACAGAGTTATTTACCTCTGCTGATTCAGCAGGGACGGTTCCATCTCCGTCGACGTACCTGTACTCAGGCTGAAAACCGATACGAAACATTACAAAGGCTTTCACAGGAAATACATGATCCAGAGCCAAGACAAAGAGCCATAGACTCCATTGGCAAAAGGGCTCAAATCTTAAGAGAGAGATGTAAACCATGCTACGCTACTCCAGAAGAGACATGTCATTTACCGTACTGTGACATATTTCGGATAAATCCTCGATCGGGGAGGTCTCTGTACCATAACTGCAACAGCACATAGCTTGAGTGTGGTTAGGCAACACATCAGCATTAGTTACTCTTTGTAAATCCAGTCACAGTAAAGAACTCGCAAGCTGAAGAATGTGGTTCCATTTCCATTTCAGAAAAAAGATAAAGTAGTTGGCAAAAGCTCAAAATGGTATGAATCAAACAAACCTAGGTGCAGAATCCAAACTATATGCCAGTGGCGTTCATCACATATGTGAAATTGCTCAGTTGGTATTAGCCTAGACAACTAATTAACCAGCCTAGAAAAAGACTCGACACCATACAGTCACCGAAAGGGAAATGGATGCATACCGAACATCAAAGGGCGTGTCATATGACACACCAAAAATGTTATAGAAGGGGATTCCATCAGGGAGTTGAGCTTTGTCGAGAATTTCCCTCGTGCCAACAGCCCACTTGAGGATGGACAAATTAAAGGGTAAAGCTATTTTGTTCCCGCCATAGCTCAGCTACAAGTAATTGGAAACCAGGATGAGAAACTCTGCTAAGATGTTAATTCGTTAAACATAAAGACATTGTCTGATAGAAAAGAAAAAAAAAACAAAGCAAACACCTCACTGAGGTGTCTATAACTTGGTTTTTGAAAGATTAAAAAAAAGATGATGTTATCAGATGAATAGATAACCTATTCATTGACATTCACCAAGAACAGAACAGAGTCTTGAACTTGATACCTCATTATCCTTCAGTGCTTCGTTGAATAGGTCAATACTCTCAGCTGGGCCAAATGATTCCAATTCTACAGAAGCATCGTCATTTTGCATCTTCTTGCGCCAAACTTGAATTTTTGGTTGGTTTCTCCACTTAAAATCTGGATTTCCCATCATCTCATAAATAGATGGGCACTCAACCAGCTTGAAGGGAAAAAGAAAAAAGAAAAATCCACAACATATATCAGCTTACCTCATCAAACTAAACTCGACCAAGCATACCAAAGGATCCTAAGATAAGAGGAATTTACCAGTTGGTGCATTGTCCACCGTGACACAAAAAAGTAGCTCTGTAAGCCTTCAACAAACTGCAGTCCCGTCAAAAGGGCATCATTGATGCAGCCTGGAGCACCTGTTGAACAGATCCAAGTCCATTTTCATGCAAGAAACTCGATTATTAGCCTCATAAAGAGTTACTTGCAAAAGCTTCTGGCATTGTGGGGATCCATTGCAATGTAAATTTATCCAAATCTAATCTGGCTTTGCTCAATGGCTATAAAGCTTGAGAAAATGACTTCTATAATGAGAGAAACTTTGAATGTCTTGGCAGACCTTTTAGGAGGCATTTGTGCGTATAATGGATTTGATTGATTTTCTTATTAGCACCGGAAAAACCAAGCCATATTTAACAATAACTAGCTATCTCTCTACAGTCACGAAGGTATAAGGGTTTTGCATAGCACATTCATTTTCAAGCTGTAAGGCTATTAGAGAGAACCGTTTACTCAGACTCCAAATGAGCAACAACTCAAAAGACCTATGGTGCCTGAACACGATCTTTTACATACATGAGCGCATATGCAGATAAACACTTGTAAGGTATTGAATATCACCTTGAAAAGGTGTTGCAATCGTAATCCATTTATTTACATACTTTGAGAAAAGCTGCCAAGAAGAAAATAAGAGATCCACATTAGACCCAATGCTCAGCATTAGGAATTTCTGGCCCTCATCTCCATGGAACTTCAATTACTTAATGGAGAAAAATTATGATACCTCAGGATGGAGAGAAAGGAAACATGACATCAACAGTCCCCCCATGGAATGTGAGATGATATTAACTTTTCTCTGACCGGAAACTTTATATGCAGTTTCCAACTTCTTTTTCAGACCATCAATCAGCGTATCGATCCTGTAGATTCAAATACCCATAGTAACTGAAAGATCTAACAAATACACTATACCCTTTCAGAGGATAATAGAGAAGAATGCATTATACTAACTATCGAATCCGGCAAAGTATAGCAGTCAAGGAAAATCACCTATTGCTTTGCCGGAAATCATAGCCGTATCCAAATAACGTGGCTCCCTTCTTATACCCACATCCAACAAGCATTTCTATCATATCATGAAAATGATACAAATCCACCAAGTTGAAAAGCTTTACGAACTGGAAAATCAAGGCATACAATAATCAGATATTCAGGTAGGCGATATAAATCTCATTTAGTGAACTAAAATGAAGCTAGTGACTAATAGTATATGAGAGACAGAAGAGGAGATAAAACCCTGTTGCTCCCCTACAAGAAGACATAAGTTCCCACAAGATTAGACATAGTACATGGACATTGAAAGTAAAGAACTCGCTAAATACAAAAGCTGAAAAGCTCTAGTAGCGTGCTGAAACATGAAAACTACATAAAAAAAAAAAGACGATTCCACATAAAGCCACAAGCTATAGTAAATGTGACTATTCAGAACTAAATAGCGATGGGATATGATGCAAGGGTAACACTTTCATTGATTTCTTTTTTATTCCCTTGGAACTTCTAGACAAGTTTCTTGTAGGCTCATTGTCTAAGGAGTCTACCTCAAATGCAGTAATCACCATCTCATAACATCGTTGCAAACCCATCTGGGAAACAATCTTATATGTAGACTGTCACTTATCAACAAGTGGACTCAAAACCGCAAAAAAAAAAGTATCCATGAATCAACTAACAGATCAAAGTTCAAAACTAGAAAGTAAACGAAAAACAAAGATATCATCTTACCCAGGATGGATCGAGGATGTCGATTGCATAGAGTCCAAAATCATCATCAGGAACCAGAATTTCAATATCATCATCTAAAGGCTCTGTATAGCCTGACAAGTTAACACAGAATAATCGAAGATCACATAGCCATCAGAAAATGACACATACACTTTAACAAAAGAGTGCATTTTGATTAAAACAAACAAGCAGACGAACGATCTAACTTTTACACGTTATACATGCATATAGATTATCACCAAAATTTTCTTGCACATATAAGGTCCAGCATAACCTTCCATCATAGATATTCCAAATGAGATCCTTTACAGTGAGAGATTTGAAACATAAAAGACCAAAAACATGGGAATAAAGAAAAAGAAAAGGACAATAAATATTCATGTTCTAGTGCAGATGTTTTTATGTGCCGACAAGCATTGATTAGCTCAAAAGATCAAACCTTTTTTTTGTTAGATCAAAAGATCAAACTTTTGATCTATTTATAGCGTATCTCAATCTTTCTCACTACTCAAAGTCAACAAAAAAATATTTTAAAAATCACAATTCATAAAGGCAATAATACCCCAATGCAAAATCAAAAAATAAGTTAGCTGACATTTGAATAAAAACCGACAAAACTATCAGATCAAGCAAACGCTAAGATTTTGATAAACCCAGGAAACTACTCAAAGTTTTAAAGAAGAAAATCGCAAAAACGAATCACCCACTTCACGTATATAGAACCTATACAGAAAAAAGCGAGGACTTGTGTGTACACACTCACACATACGCGTATACATCAGGGAGAGAGAGAGAGAGAGAGAGAGAGAGAGAGAGAGAGAGAGAGAGAGAGACGAATACCAGTTTTGGGATTATACAGAGACCAAAGATTTTGCTTGAAGGCGAGATTGGCGAGAAAAATCCGGACCCAGACCCGGATTTCGGACCCGGGTTTCTTCTTCTTCCTGGAATGGAGAATCGAACCTCCGATGCCGGAGACGAGGAGTACCGGCTCACGATCAGCCGCCTCGCCGTCGTCGCCGTCGTGGTCTCCCCAACACGGGCACGAAACCCAGTCCTTCAGCATGGGTTACGGGTCGGGTCGGGTCAGATCTCCACAGGGTAGTAGACAGAGACGAAGAATTTGGATACAACTACCAGACAGATGCAAATGCGAATGCAGGATTTCATCATTATAGCCATAGTTATGGAGGACTTTCGGGAATTTCGAGAATATGCCGTCTTGACTCTTGTGTACCGAGCACGTGTTCATCACGTGTGAGATTTCTAGTGCCGTATGTGTATGTACTTATATCCCATACCAACCAATACACATATATGTACATACATGCATACATATGTATATGCATATATAAACACATACCCAGGGAGCAGACGACCGCATACTCAGGAGAGTATTTGGGCCGTCAACGGAGACAATCGGCGAAAATGGAGCAGCCACAGTCTCCGGGAACGAAGCCGGTGAAGCTCCGAGATTCCATCGAAGAGCTGCTACGGTTTACTCTGCAATATCACGTGGATGAATCCGTACGAGACATTGATCTTGAGCTGCCCAGGGATTTCTGCCTCCGTCTCCTGGAGAAGCACCCGAATTCGACAGGTAGCGAATCAGATCTCGGCTTTTTCTTTGATCCAATCTTGCCAAATTCACTGCCGATTATCGTTTTTAGATCGAAAGCCGGCTCTGTACAAGCTTCTAGCATCTGCTTTCTGCGATTGTCTGGGTTCCGATGAACAGTCGGAGACATCCGAGGAGCGGGGTTTTAGTAAATATTCAAACTTGAAGAAGTACACCGAGTTGTTTCACGACTTGGCAAATGTATGTGTGACTAATTCACAAGCGAATTATGTTATGGTGCTTCGAAACATAGTGAAGAAATTGGATTTTCACAAACAGTTCTTGTAATGTCAGATGCTGAAGAATGTGAGCTTTGAGCTTCATGTCCAAGAGTGTTACTTCACGCAACTAAAAGGTAGACGCTTTCTGTTTGCTTGATCATCGATGTTTCATTTGTTGAATCTTGTATGCCTTCCATATGTAGATGGTCTGAAAACTGTTGAAGGAAGGTGTGCAGTTGGAGACTACATGAGGTATTGAATTCCCACCTTGCAAGCGATGTTATATGTTTATTACTATAAGTTTTTCAAAGGAAGCCAATTTGATAAGATATTTCATTTGGGTGTTTAGGAAATCTATTTGAACTGATATGTTCTTCCTTTTCACTTTTTAGAGGGTCTTTCAATATTAGCTTTGTGACACTTTTTCTTAATCTCCCAGGATTAGCTCAGGAGCATTTATTCTGTTCAACAAGTGTTTGGTGCTTGAGGTTCAGGTACTAAGTCAGTCATACATTGTGTATTTTATATGAATCCTCTTGCGGTTGACATTGTTGCAGATTCCGAAATAGTTAACCCGGAATCGAAATGAGTGGAGAAGAATGATTCATGCGACCGACCCCAAATGAATTTGGGAATGAGGCGATGTTGTTGTTGTTGCTGCCCCTTGCGGTTGACATTTTCTTTTTTGAACCATTTGATTGGCAGGACGTCCACCATTATGCATCTTTTGCAGAAATGCTAGAAGTGGAAGGTCTTGACAAAGTCCTTCCTGGTGTCAAGAGCATAGAAGAAGGTTTAAGATCCCTGTTAAATTACTTAAGGAAACATAAGACATATAGCGAGCCTATGCATCTCAGCATGAACCATGTTTCTAACTTGAAGTATTGTCATATATTGCGCTTGTTGTGTCTAATGAAGTGGTTGAGTAGTTAGTCATAGTTTATTAGTTGCTCATGTTGAGGTTTCCCGTTTCCCTCTGCATAACACGTAGGGTTTCACTTCCTCTTTCTAGGAATTTAGTCGGTCAAGAACTTTTGGTTATGGATTGTTTATTTATAACTAGATGTAACGATATTAACTTGCAGGAGTTCGAGTTTATAGACAATTTTACCCTGAAGAAAAAGAAAGAATGAACGGTGTTCTAGCTATTCTTGTTGTGAAACCGAATGTCCAGCCTTATACCTCTTTGGCAAGAGTATTATCTGTGAGTTTTCTCAATCACTGGTTGCTTTTTACATGCTTTGATATGTACTTTTCTATCTTGTTACCACTGCATCTTCTTGGGGCAAGCTGAATGAATGTATAAAGAATAAGGCTGTAACAATGTAACATTCTCCTTGTGCTTATCTTTGGCCCCTCAAGGAAATAAGAATTAAGAGGTGACATATTTCTGTTTACATGACAAAATATGCAAACAAACAAAAAACAAAATCATGAAACATTGGATATGAATACCAGTAAATTCCTAAATTCATAGATGCATGATTTACTAGCCTTAGTACATTGGCATTACCAGCACATGGAACTGTTCTTAAATGCTGGCCTCATAGATACCCTCAAAGTTTCGCTGTGAATGACTGAAAATATGGATCATTTATGTTAGCTTTTTGTTATCAGCGTCATGGAAACTTCTCTTCCTTTTTTTTGGTCCAATCCAGGAATTAAATTGCACAGGCATCCAAAGCCTTCTGGGCGACGATATTGCTGGAGTTTCCTTGTAGAGTTACTGCTTCTGAATTCTTAATATCTTGAATTCAAACAAGATATATACGAGATCGAATTGAAGATTACTGCCAGACTTGTTGCTGACAAGGATTTCAATTCTTAAAGAGGACAAAAACTTTGTAGAACTGAGTCAGGGTTGTCTTAAGGTACATCTTAGTCCATTGTATCACTGGTTCCAACTCAAAGTTTACACCTTTATTTATTTCTGGTCCATGCGTATATGTCACACGCAATGTTTCTAAAGATATATCTTGTTATACATCTGTCTCAACTAAACCAAAAGGGGTTGTGAGAGTAACCAGAAAGAACAGGACCAGAGAAGAAAACATAAGAGGAAATGTGCAATACTGAGTTGAACCCTTGAGTGGTAACATGCCGCAAGACCATAAGAACCATTGAAACAGCAGTTCCTAATTTGTCTTAGACTTGCCAAAGAGTAGTTTCCATGAGTATGTGTTGTCTTTCTTTTCAGCTGCCTCCACACGCTTCCCTCCTACCTGCAATTATCCATCAAGCCCTTCATCATAAATTTTTTTTAAAGTTCCCTGCTTTTCCCCAGAAGTTAAAATGAGTATGCGCTCTCGATTGATAATGTTATACGTGTTTATACAAGAAAATGCATGCATTGCCGGTCAAAGTAACGATTGGAGTTATAACAAATGAATAACTCACCTTGTCCATAAGCCAGAAGCCAACCGAAGGCATGTACTGCACTAGATACATCACGGGTAGTACTGGCTGGAAAAAGAGAGGAACAAAACCATATCAATATCAAAGGCATCCAAAAAGTGGCTCATATAAAGAACTCAGATAAATTTCACCTGATATGAAATCCAAGCTTCTTTCAAGTTATGGGATGCGGCGATTATGGTCAGTTCTGCACAGCGTTCTGCTGACACACGCCTCTGTTGACAAAGAAGAGTCACATGCTAGATGCTTGAGAAAAGGTCCAATACAAAGAAACAAAAATGGCAGATACGCATTCCGTGTTATGGTTCATATGGGGGAGAGATTGAGCTTCAAGAAATAATGAATGGTCTTAATCATGGGATCCTTTTCTATCAGATAAGGACTGTTGCACAAAATGTACTTATAAGTAATTACCCCATAAATCCTATGTCTATCTATGTGAAGAAGAAATCATGTAATGAAGGGGATATTTCTTAACAACAGTATGAACTAGAGATGTTTACGTACTTGGTATTGGACATTCAACAAGCAAGAAACTAAATTCGGTAGTGAGTTTTGCAAAAACATCGCCCTAAAGGTTTCAACGAAAGATGACAGTGTAATAACCAAGACACAGTCCGACCCACCTCAGGAGATTTCTTATTCTCTGAAGTTGTCGTTCCAGTGCCATTTGAGGTTTCTACTGGCCCAGGACAAACAATAGTAACCTTAATTCCCTTCTGATAAAGCTGCAAACATAAGCAAATAATCGTGGCATTATATAAGGAGCTTTTTCAGATGGTTTCTGCCGAAAGTTAAAAGTGTTCAGCGTTTTTCCCTGGATGAGCTAAAATCAGCTCTCTGGACTAGCTGGTATTTCAGTTATGCCTTTCCATGATCACTTTCAGTCAAATAATCTGTCATTAGACAGATCATTTACCTCTAACATACCTCAGACCGCAAGCTGTGGAAGTAGCCATTCAGAGCATATTTTGAAGCAGAATATATAGCCTGTCCTGGTGCAGGTGTTTTTCCTGCAGCACTGCTCATCTGAGCATAGATTGAAGTCAGATATAACAGAAACTCTACTCTGAAATAATTTAGTCAAAGATTCAATAGCTCAGTTTCCCATTTAACAGGTATTTGACATCCTCCTCAATGCAACCACGCTCTGCATTCATGAGCAAAACATGATATAGATCTCGTTCGTTCCATAAATTTTCATGGAAGCAAGGCATCCAATGGTAGCACTAAATATTGGCATTAACAAAATGGTCACCGCTAATTTCCACGTACCACAACAAAGTGGCCTCCTCCTTGTTTCAGCATATAAGGAGTTAGCAATTTTGTAAGAGAGATCGTTCCAAATACATTAACATTGAATGTAGTCTGCATGGAAAACATGATTGGGCTCAGCACAAAAGCATACATGTTAAAAATCATATAGATCCTATCACTAAACCTCTATGGAAATATGCTGCAATCCAGATGCTGAAGAACTATCCAGCTAAAGTTTTAACCAAATTAATACCTTGAGATTTTCCTCGCTCACGTCCAGTGCAGTACTTTTCTGCAAGAAAGAAAACAAGAGTGATGAAGGGATTTGGTGTCAAGCAATCAAAACCAGAAATCCATGTCCAGACTCTCCTATGATTGGGTTTAGATGATTCTTCCATGCTTAGAGCCTGGTGATGGGAAGTTCCTAAACTAAAAGAATCGCTTAAACCTGAAACTTTTCTGTTGTCTAAGATTCTTTGAAAACCGAAAGCTGACAAATTTACTTACAGGGCGCTCATATGCAGCATTGTGCATCATATAATCAATACCATCCCCAGGGAAAAGTGACACTGCTTCTTCCACTGCCAGTTTGAGCGAACCTTCTCCACTGGCTAAATCTAAGGGCAAAATCTTCACTCCATCTGGCACATGCTTACCTACAGGAATGCTGAATCGATTACATTGCATGTCACTAAAAATCCCAGACGAAACATATGACAAGAAAAGAGGAAAACTACAGAGACCCTTCCCCTAATCATCAGGTTAGAGAGTACCTTTAAGCTCACTCCTAACACGCTCCAGTTCAGCTACATTCCTTGCAGAAAGGATGAGCTTGGCACCAAGACTTGCAAGCTGCTTAGCAAGAACTTCCCCTAGAATTGATCATGAAGAAGAAATGAACAAGAATAAGCAGCAACAATATTCACCATAAAAAGGAAACATAGCACATTTCAAAGGTTCAAAAGTTAACCAATTTACCAAGAATATAATATTTTCAGCCACATATTAAGAATGAATCAGAAAAAAAAAATCAACATTTTTCTTCTGCAATTCTGAACAACTAGACTGAAAACAATTGAAACTTGACTGAGAGAGTAAACTGCGAGCATCCAATAAACAGTCTCACCAATCCCACGGCTAGCTCCTGTAATCCACACGACCTAACCAAACCAAAAAAACACAGAATTTCGTATGAAAGACCAGTTCTTGTCCGAAAGAATGAGTCATAGGAAGAAAGTCGAATGATTTCCCCCAGAAAATACTCTTAAACTCGATATTCGATCGATCAAAGAGACCCAGTACCTTATCTTCGATGGCTTCACGCTTCACACGCTTCTTCGACACCAAAGTGAAATCCCCTGAGGACAGCGAAGAACGTCACTTTCAAAGACAGACCATTTCGATCACAACGAGAAATGAGAAACGAAGATTCACAGATCATTAGGATTCTCCATCGAGGTCATTACCATCAGCCACGGCGAATATGTAGAGCAGCAGACCGAGTTCAAGGGCAAGAATGAAAAAGAACAAGAGCAACCCCGGCATTTTTTTTCCTGGGCTCGAGCAACACGTCGGCGACGAGAGGATTATGCTCGTAATTGCCGCCTGCCCTGTGGTTTGCAGACGAGCCGTGGTATTCTTGTAATTTCGTCTTATTTATGTGGTTCTTTCGTCATTGTGTATTTTCTTGGAACTCTCGGAGCAGATTTTATTACATCAAATATTGCCCCAATACTTTGAATAATAACAATAATGACCCCATAATTTCTAGAAATATTTTCCAGATGCCTCTATGTTCGGGAATGAGTATGCAAAACATTATTGATGCTGTAAGATCTTGTTAAATTTCTTGATTTTCTTGCCAAGAAAAGCTTTTTCCTCCGCGATGCGATGTTTTCTTTTAATATTTAAAAGAAAAAAGATGTATTATAGAGTAAATCGTGGATCAAATAGTTTATGTATGAGTAAATCGTGGACCTAATAGTTTTTCAAGTAAATTTTGGGAAAGATCTTTGAAGTATGAAGACTTAAGGGACCATTTTGACATTAAACCCTAAATTGCAAATCCTTTGTTTACACCATTACCAAATCCCTGGTTTATTTTTCGTAGGTTTTCGATCAAATTGCCTATCTCTGTCCGCAGTGAGTATCGAGAGAGAGAGATCGAGAGAGAGAGGGAAGTCGACAGTTTGTGAAGTTGGCAAGTTGTTTTTCATGTTTCCCTTCAGGCAGTGCTGCTTCTGGATGCCTTCAACAAAGATAGGGCATCCTTGCCACAGCCTGTTGCAACTCAGCCCCCAGCGTCAGCATTGCCTCCACCTGATCCCCGTACTCAGGAGTGTGTGAAGATGGATGCCATGAGGAAGCAGCTCGATGTGCTCATGGGAGCAAATCGAAACGGCGATGTGAAGGAAGTGAATCGCAAGTACTACGACCGCGATGTCTGCCGTCTCTATCTCTCTGGTCTCTGTCCTCACGAGCTCTTCCAATTGACGGTGGGTGTAATCTTCATACCTTTACCTTCTTCTGTAGTCTGTTTTTCGTTCGTCTCCCGAAAAACCCCAATTTCATAGATGAGTTGATTTCTGGGTTCGAGTATTTGGGTGGTGAGTAGAGTCGATAAGGCACGAGAGGAAATGAGCGTTGGATTCATGAAATTAGTGTGGAAGAAAGTTTATTTCTGCTCTTCCCCGCTTATCGTTTTACTTCGTATGCTCCTGTCGTTTATTGGTATTTGTCTGTTGATATGGTGTTCCTCAAAATCCTATCTTGATTTAGGATGCGTATGTTGATCATTGTTTCGTTTGGTTGGATTGGGGAAAAAGATGAGACCATCTGCATGTGGTCATAGCACCAGTATGTTAGCCTTTGAATTGCTGTTGTCTAGGTCATCATTTTGATCTGCCCTTTAGATGGTGTTGATGGCCCAAGTAATTTCTCTTCGTAATTTCTAATGCCCCTTTGATTTCTGTGTTATGTAACAGAAAATGGATATGGGTCCTTGCCCAAAGGTTCACTCTTTGCAGCTCAGAAAAGAGTATCCTTTTTTTCTGTAACTTTCAAGTCCTTTTTGCTTGCTCTGAGCATGGAGCTCATTTTCTCTCTGTTGAGGATAAGCTACCTCTAGGTTCCCTATTTTCTATCATTTAGTTAATGCGATTATGCGATCCCTAAAACTTGCATTTCCTTACAAATTTTTTGTAGCAACTTTTATCATCTCATAGCATATGAGCAACACGGTTGATTCACAATTGAGTTTTTTATTGTCTAGCTGAAAATGGTGTTTATGTTTTGACTATTCTCCTAGGGTTAATCTTGATGTACCTTTATCTATCTAACTAGAGCATATAAAACCAAGAATAGCTTGGGGTTTGAAGTATAGGCAGAGTTATTACTGGAATTGTTTGAGTTGTTGATTTCATTATCATATATATACCAGATCTTCAGTGGCATATTCTTTTTCCTTTTCCATTCTTGTGTTTTGTCTTAACACTTTCTTAGATATGAAGAAGCAAAGGCAAAAGGTGTTGACAACTATGACAGAGAATTGGAAGATGCTATAGACAGGTTGATTGTTGAGTGCGATAGGAAGATTGGTAGGGCCCTTAAGCGTCTTCAGGAAGAAGATGCCAAAGCTGCTATCGCAATTTCTGTCACTGAAGTCACTCAGGTGATGATCTAGTTTCGGAATGCATTGGAGGTAGCTTCTATGTTATTATCGATACGTTCAGATTTGCTCATCCTTTTGTCTTTAAACCGCAGACACCTGAAATACTCGAGTTATCGAAACAAATTAAAGAGAAGATGAAGGAAGCTGAACAGCACGGTAATAAAATGATATTAACATTTTTTCCAGCTTCTTTTGAGGTCCCTGTTACTTTTTCAAAGGGCTGTTGTTCTGCTAATTAGTTGCATACAATTTGTTTTTGTTGTGCAAGTGATGTATCTCTGATAATTTATGGAAATGGTTATTATGTGTCCATTTGTATTAATGGTTAGTTTGGAGATAACTAGAGCGTTTTCACTCTATTTTTCAAATATTTTGTTATTTTTTTCAACACTGTTTTCCTGATGGTCTTTATTGGTGGTGGTCTCTCTACGAAATTGTTTTTGAACAGCCTGCCATAAGCAGCCTAAACTATGATGCTATGTTTAGTGTTCTGTCCTCCAGAAAATAAAGCCTTGATGTTATAATTACTGAAACTGCACCTATGGTAGTGCCAGAGATGGCTTCTGACCTTTCCTGAACATTCCACATTTTAGAACCTGGACACTTTTGGGGTTGCATGGCAAGGCTTCTACTAATGTTGTAGAACTTGAGGTGCTGGTATGGTCTTTAAATACAATATATGATGTCACTTTGCAGATCTTGAAGGCAAGACCGATCTTAAGATAAGAGCTCTTGAGATAGTTGAAGAAATGAGGACCAAGAGAGCTGACAAACAGGTGTGTGGTGTTGTGCTTTGCTAGTGGTTTGATGTGCCAGGTACTTGGTTGTTATTTCTTTGTGAAGTTGGCAAGTTGTTTTTCATGTTTCCCTTCAGGCAGTGCTGCTTCTGGATGCCTTCAACAAAGATAGGGCATCCTTGCCACAGCCTGTTGCAACTCAGCCCCCAGCGTCAGCATTGCCTCCACCTGATCCCCGTACTCAGGAAATGATAAATGAGAAATTGAAGAAGGCAGAAGATCTTGGTAACGGAGTAAAATCTAGTTTGCATCTGTTTTGTTGCAATTGTTGAATGCGTACATGGTTATGAGATCTATTCTTCCTCAGGTGAACAAGGACTGGTTGATGAAGCACAGAAAGCACTAGAAGAGGCTGAAGCTCTCAAGAAGGTTTGTTTTCTGTTTAAAACTTACCTTTGAATTGAGTAATTTTGTTCAATTTTTTGCGATGTGGGGTTATTGAAAATTTGAAAATATAGTTACCATATGTATTAATATCATGCGGAAAAGTGTGTGAGGACTTGCATTCATTTAACTTTCAGCTTACTTTGTGGAGGTTATAAATTTATAATCTTTTTGTCCTTCTTTTTGCCCTTCTTTTTGTCCCTAGACTTTATTAGTCAATGAAGAGTGTTGTGTACTTTTGTTTCAGCTTACCGCCAGACAAGAACCTGTAGTGGATTCTGGCAAGTATACTGCAGCTGATGTGCGCATTGTAAGTTGATATCTCGGTGGCATGGTTGCTAAATTTCACTTCTCTCGTGAAGATCTCCCAAATCATGTTTCCAGTGTATCTATCTGATTGAATGTGTTCGCTAATCAAATTAGAACTTTAAAATTTGGAAGGTAACAATCCTGTTTTGAGCAACTAGATGAATAGTCGTGGATCTAAATTGTGTGTATGTTCACCAGATGGTTTGATTTCATTTTTCGAGTCTGGATCTGGACAGAAATGTTCTCTCTTGTCAAACAGCTTAGTGACAATTTGCGTTGCCACAGAAGTATAACATGTCTTCTCGCCTGTTTAGTGTATATGTGTTCATCTCCTATTCTTCATGTCAATTTACCAGTTATCCTTTGTGTTTCTTTGTCATCTCAGACAGACCAGAAGCTGCGACTATGCGACATATGTGGAGCATTTTTGAGTGTATATGACAGGTTAAGTTTGTTTACTTGAACTTTGTGGTTTATGTATTTCATTCTGGCATTCAAGGGCAAGCTAGAAATAGATTTATGGGTTGCAAGTGGTTCAGCTTTTGACCCCGGCTATTGTACCTCCTTTTCACCAGCAGGCTTTTTGGGCCCAGTTTTACGAGGATTACTTTTGCAGCTAATAAATGTGCGTCTTTCTGATTTATTATGCTCAGACGATCATACTGTTAGAGATAATGGAGCTTTGAGCTGTATTTATGTTTTCATAAATGCTCGGCAATGTTATAATTTTTGTGCCGCTTTTAGTGATCGTCGGTTGGCTGATCACTTTGGAGGGAAGCTTCATTTGGGTTACATGCAGATTCGGGATAAATTAGCAGAGCTTCAGGTATATTGTCTGATGATTCTTTTGCTATGAATTCTGTCTAATTTGCTTGATTTGTTCTCTCGCATATAATAGTTGTGTAAGTTAGGTGGAATTGCTTCTATGATTTTTAGGTTAATGCTTCTAATTGTGATATCTTCATCTTACAGATAGAAAATTGTGCCTTGTCTGATAGTGCCTTGTCTGATGCCAACAAGTTAGTTCAATCAATTTTCGCAATTGTCTGTAAGAGGCTATAGTTGTGTTTTTCTTAATTTTCTTCAGGAAGGAAGAAACAAAGTTCGAAAGGAACAGAATGAGGACAGGAGGTTTTCTTCCATTCATTCTGCTTGTTTACCAAATTTTACCATTGGCACACCTTCGGAGCGTTAAAACATTTAACACTTCCCAAATCATTCAAATTCTCAGATCAAAGGAGCGGAGTAGGGATCGGGAATCAAGTAGAGACCGAGACCGAGGAGATAGTCGAGACCGGGGAAGAGATCACGATCGAAGGAGTAGAGATCGTGATAGGCACCATGACAGAGACTATGACCGGACCCGAAGCTATGATTCCAGAAGCCGGCGTAGGTCACGCTCTCGCTCCAGGGAGAGACCAAGGGACTATGATCGCCACAGGTACTGCCATTATCATCACACTGGCATCTAGTAACTTCGTATTTGTCTAATCTCAAAAAGCTAAGCAAGCGATTATTAGAGCTGTGTTTGTTGCCTGGTTCGTGGAATCAGTGTACCAGACGCCTTAGAAGAGTAACAAGTTGGAATCTAGCTTGGATTTGTTTGTTTAGAATTGCATTATCAAGACACATTCTGGAACCCAAGATTCTGTTCCGTTTGTCTTCTTCAACTGTATATCATGTTCAGTGGGGCTTTCTTCTACAGCTGACAACACACATCTATTGCAACGAAATCTTGTTATTGTGGCATATACACACACATACACGTGGGGTTATATATAATGAATGATGTCATGGCTCTTGTGATAGTGTAAATATTGAGAGAATATTAATTCTTGCAGGCGTCACGACCGCTACTAGGTGGCTCAGGCGACCTTTGAGAGCTACGGATGTTTTAGGATCAATCTTTCTACATTATGTGGTTTTTTATTTGCTTTGTCGTGGGAAGTGTATGTTCCCAAGTTTGTGGAGCTTTCAGACATATTCCTTGTCTCATGTGGTGATTTTCTCCTCTACTTTCTGCGTGCAATTTCAAGAGGCCTTGGCGAAGAGAGATCTTGTGGGTGATGTTTGATGCCAATCAGCTTTCTTGTTTCCCAAGTCTCTACAGTTTATTTAAGCCTTTTTGTCTGGTGAACTTGATTTCAAAGGACAAATTTCAGCATAAGAGACAGCAAAGTAATATCTTCAACATGAAGCTGTCCGTGCACAAGTTCATCGCGTGGTAAGAAACAAATGGCTACATAACCTGAAGCCTTAAACGACCAAAGCCACTCCCATCAACTGTAGCTTAGAATCCACGTAACAAGAAAATTCTGCGGTGCAATGTACAGTAAGAACACAGAAAAGGAACAAACTTTATACCCCAAAAGGGTGGGTTCAAGGAGGGTGAGTCATAGATTTATTACAGATTTTTCATTATAAGAATCAACAAGAAAAATATACAATTCACAATTGGTAAAGTTCTCTACCTTCTTTTATAAATGGGAAGGTCGGCTTACGTTATTGTTACTGCAGCAATGTGCCGCATCAAGCATTAGAAAAGACCTGAGAGGTGTAATCAATCAGGCATATATACATATATGTACGTATATATATAATATTTGGAATGATGCAAAGTTATATAATCTTTGAATCAAAGCCAAAGCAGAGGCCAATAAAAAGAGCTTTAGGTAAAATGCTTTATCTCGCTAATCTAATAATAAATGAAAAGCCCTCAAAAAAAGAGGCATTCATTCCTCTAACAAGCGTATTGATACATGCATGGCATGGCCTGTCGGGACGGCTCTTCTTCTCGCTTTCCCAACCTAACCTTTCGTGTATATTTTTATTTTTAACAAGAGCCAATACACCTACACACACATATGTGTGTACATATATATATATATATATATATTGGTATTATATAAAAATTGGAACCCAACAAAGAAAAAACCATGTGTATATATATATATCTCGAATCTTGAATGCATGTCACATACTCTCTTCTCCTTCTCTCTTAAGAAACTCCTCTTTATTCAATCTCTCTCTTT